GACTGACTGACTGACTTATTTACTGACTGACTGACTGACTTATTTACTGACTGACTGACTGACTTATTTACTGACTGACTGACTGACTGACTTATTGACTGACTTACTGACTGGCTGACTGACTGACTGGTACGTAATTTCCCTTGCAAGTTAGAAAAGTCTTTTCTTTCCAGCTGGAAAATCTCAAAATACAGATACTATTTGAGGTTTCCTCTTTGAAATTATATTTTAAAAAAATCCTCATTAGAATAACCTAAAATAGAATTCAGACAAAAAATATATATATTTTTGTGATTAACAAGACAAATCAAAGCAGGAATCTGAAAATGTGCTTAGATCTATTTGAGCAAATTGGACTTCATCCTGGTGTTTGATGTGATGGGTCACATTATGTGTAGAACCACAACAGGGTTTTTGTAGCAGATCTCTTGTTCGGGTTTTTGCGGTGTTTGTCTAGATGTTTTTAACAGCGTGACCACGTGGAGACGAGTTTGTTTTCATTTCCCAGCCACAGCTCTTTATGAGAGCCGCCAGATAATATAAACTTTAAAACATTTTAGACAAAGTCCTGAAAAAAACTGTGCAGTACGTAACACATTTCTCCAAAGAGAGAATACAACTTCAAGTATTGAGTACCAATACACTCGGGTGGCATGAGGTCAGGAGAGGAGGAAAATGAAAACAATAGTAAAATAAAGAAATACTAATTATGGTGCACAGGTTTCCCTCATTTTGGGAGATTGGCAATTGGCAGATACACGAGAAATATTTTATTTACCTCTGCAAAGGTCTGAAAATCAGCCACTGTCCTCATTTGCTCTGCTGTTAGCAATACCTCATGTTTTTATTGTTTTAAAAGTATTGTTTAATGTTTTTTAGTGAAATAAGATAGAAACATTGAAGGTGTATTGGAACCTTATGAGGCCAGGCTTTTGAAAGCTCTTTGATCAGTCAGAAAACTGCAGTCGGTTCACCCCGACTACTAATGTTTACAATTCTACTTTTTAAACTAAGAAGATGACAGAGCATCATCTTACTCCAATCCAGAGAGCTCCTGACGTTTCCTGAACCAGGACTACCCCACCCCTCCCCATCTTTTTAAATAAGCTGTGCCCTGTTTTTACCACAATAACATTATGAACAATCCTCACACACAAAGTTGTTGTTGGACACCCTGGTGGTGAGACTATAGGTCTTTTTGCACTGCACAGCCTGGCTTCAAATCTGGGTTCAGCATATTTGCATTAGCCCTTATGGCCCAATTCTGCCCTGTTTGCAGCAACTAACTATTTTTTTTTGTTTGTTTTCCACACAAATTTAACTACACAACAACAACAGGCTAACGTTAGCTACCATCAGCATACAGTTCGCTGTCATCCTGCCCTCTCATTTGTGTCGCACAGCTGGATGGTCCTGTTCAATCTTCTGTTCTTTTACTTCAAATTTGGTGTAGTCCATTATTTTCACATCACAAATAAAACAATATTGAGCGTGTCATATTATGGTCCCGCCCACATCCAGGTGGCTCTCTGCTCAATACAAACAGGTACAGGGTAGAACAAGACCAGACCCTCTGGAGCTGGAGCTTTTGTCTCTCTGCTGGTCTGGGAGCACCTTAAAGGCCTCAGAAGAGCTGGAAGTGGAAAGAGAGGTCTGGTCAGACCTGATGAGTGCTGCAGACCTCTTAACCACATCAGTTTAAACTCCTTTAATCTGTTTGATCTGTTTTTTCTAGACCACTGCTGCCAGGGAGACAGAGCAGAGGGCAGAAGAGGCTTCCTTGTTACATGGAGACAACTGGGCTCTGAAAACTGAGTCTGATGGACCAGAGTCCAAGATGACAGCACTCGAGTGTCTGATGGGGGACTGTTTCTCAGCTGAGCCAGACTGGTCAAACGGTCCAGAACAGATCTACAGGGAGATTGAACAGTACAGGAGGGAGGGGTCCAYCCCTCTCAGCAGCTGCCCCCTGAGGTGGTGGAGAGAAAACGCTCCTCAGTATCCTCTGCTGTCTCAGCTTGCCAAAGTGTGCCTGTCTATCCCTGGTACCTCCGTCCCAAGTCCACGAGTCTTTTCTGCTGCAGGAGACATCATCAACGCCCAAAGGTCTCAGCTTCAGCCAGAACACCTAGACATGCTGATTTTCCTGAACCAGAACATGAGCGTGTAACGGGCTTGGCTGGACCACCTGTATAGAAAAGCCTGCTCGCCCTCTGCTGCCTTCTGTAATATTAAGATTCTTGTTTTGTTTTTTTGTACAGAAAGTTCATATCAGGCCGTCTTACTTTGTTACAGATTGTWGCAAAACCTCTTAGCGCTTAATAAAAGGATTTTGTCCAGTATATATTGTTTTTTATTTTTCATCTCATATTTTCATGAGCTGAATGTGACATCCGTGTTCAACACTGTGGACCATAGCCCTCTCCAGAACCAGAACCAGAACTAGAACCAGGATACAAACGCCAGCAGCCTGTAGGAACTTTGGACTTATTTTAAATAAGAGAGAGGATTCCAGAAGACTTATCATGAGCAGCAACAGGAAGTGATGTCAGAGAGGAACGCCTGTATGTAACGTGTTGCTACAACAGACAGGAGAGGAGAAACWGAGTCAAGTTCTCCTTTGTTTCCACTTCCTGGTGCTTTTTACTAAACCAAGTTTAAAACAAAAACAAGTTATTTGAAAAAAATGCTTTTATATCATGTATTACAAAGTGGTTAAGCTGTTTTCTTCCCATTTTTTTTTATCTTTAGTAAATGCTTATGACAGGATATTTCAGACATTTGGAACTAGAGTTTTGTGTTAAAGTAAAACCTAACAGGGCTAAGCTAATGGCTAACCTGAACACAACTAAACCAGAGTGGATCCCTGCTGTCAGAGAACTGTTCTGATCTCAGAACTATTGTTTTATGAATTACATCAACAGATTCTCAGTATGTTTTTTTTTTTTAAGGTTGTGGTGGCAMGATTTAYCAAGAATGCAGAAACACGTTGGAATAAATGCACAGAAAGTCTGCRTGTATGGTCGTCAAATGATTTAATTTGAGCAACAACAGAGCAGAAGTCAATCAGAGAAGTCTGTCAAGTTGTGGTTGGCTCGTCAGCGCAGAGCAGCCGATAATATAACATCCTGTGACATGCTTACAACCAATCACAGTTCGACAACTGTGAACCATCTAACCAATGACAGAGCTGTCAGCCAGGAAACACCTTATCAAAATAAAAGAGGTCATGCATTGATAGAGTCTKGAAGTCTGGGCCGATAGATTAAAACAGCCGAAACTAGTTATCATGAGATATGATTACTAGACAGTGTCAACGTAGAACAGATAATTATTCCATAACAAGGTCAAGCAGTAGCATCTAGCTGCAACACTTCCTGTGTAGCCTGGAATCAATTCCTGCAGGGTTATGTGTCTGCTGTGGATTTTCTGAAATAACAATGTTAAGTCAAGTTTCATTTGTGGCCATTTATTTAACAAAAATGTCTTAATTAATACAAAATATATAATACAATAATCAAACACAAAACAACAAACATAAAGTCATAATCATGTAAGATCATTTTGTTATAAAGTGCATTATCACAATTTCATCCTTTATTTCCCACCTTCACACTTTGAATTCAAATTAAAATATTTTTTTAATTTGTATTGTTTCTTTCCCCTGAGTCTCAAACACCACAGCCAACTTACTGCTTTAATTAAAACGCCTCTTACATTTAATCATCATCCAAATGGTTTTCATTTCCTGTTATTTGACAACTGGATGTTTAATTAAAATCTTAGGAAACAAATTTTCCATTCAAAACTTTATGACTGATGAATGAACTGCTTCACACCGACCTCACAGCTGGCATGCAGATGTTTCAGCACTCAGAGAGCATGCTGGGAAAATTAATGATGTGAAAACTTATTGGACACACCTGGAGGTCAGGTATGAAACGAGTGTTCCTGCCTCCCACACAGCAGACTGGGAGTGAGGGTGAAGGAATTATATTTTATTAGTAGTTTTCTACAAAAAAAAATATTTTACCTGTAGATAGAAACAGTTGTGTTTCTATATTTAAAAAGTATGTTCTAAAATAATAAACTAAAGTGATTAGCAGAAACAATAGACTTTTTGTGATCATTTCAGCTCAGTCAGGTCTTTTTTTTGTTTTCATAGCAACATTAAGTCTGAACACCCTGTTCTGATATTGTTTTTAATTATTTTTGGACTTTGTTGTGTCTGCAGGGACCTGTTCTTATTGTTCACAACGACCCAGAAGCTGAAGCAAACAGCATAAAGGGACAAAATAAAGACGCAGGAAAAGAAAGACGATCAGTTACTTTGTTGTTACAAATAGTCTAACCTGGTGAACACAATGCATTTTTGAAGTTTAGTTTGCCAAAAACCATTTTTACACAATTCGACACATTCTTTGTAAAACCTCAGAAGAACTCTAACCTTGTAAAATATCAGTAACGTAATAAAAAATAAAACTATATAAGAAAATACTTTTTATTAATCACTGAAAATAATGAGTTTTGCTGCTCTGGGAGGTAAAGCTATAATATCTGTTCCCTAAAGGGTTAATGTTCAGGGGAGGGAGGGGCTAGTTGTGTGAGTGGAGAGAGACGAGCTGCGCAGCAGCGGCCTGGCTGGGGGCTGGGACAGAGAAGACGGACGATGAGGAGTTGTGTTTTTTTGTCGGTCTAGCAAAACAAAGCTGTCCCATCCTGTTGTTTTTCTAACACATTGAAGAGTTTTTAGATGACTATGACTGCGTTTTTGCACGCTGAGTCATTACGGTAGCTTTTTAGCTTCACTACTATTACACATGCTCCGTAAACAAATGAAGCTTCACCTGGTGGGGAGGCATGTAAAGCCTGGCAGCACTAGGGTTGGGTATTGAAAGGGTTTATTTCGATACCGGTGCTAAATCGATACTTTCAAAAC